TCCCCAGCAGTGTTAACCAAATATTTAAAACAAACCTTACTAGTCTATATAGAAATCAAGTCAATCAATAGTTCTTCTCTCCTGCTGACACAGTAAAGTCTTCACTGTTGCAGTGTTATTAGATAAGAGTAATGTCTTCTGGAGGCACACAGCCTTGGACTGAATCTCTACTCTGCTACACTCTAGCACTGAAATGTTGGTAAGTAATATAACCTCTCTCTGCCTCACTTTCTTTATCTATGAAATGAGGATAATAACAGTGCTTATATCATAGGGCTACTGTGAGGACTGATGGGACACTCCATAAAGTGCTTGGCCCACTTTCAGGCATATAACAAGCCTCTATAAACATCAATATTAATCCTTTTCTGCTGTGATTTCTCCTAAGTAACATTGCCAGTGTAACTGTGTCTCATTCTTACACAAGAGCCTTCCCCAATGTCTATCTAATGAAGTCTGCTTCCATGTATAATCTGATCTAAATCTGCTCCTTTCCATAAACAGTCTCCTCAAATTATAATGGTTTACTCACTGGGCATTCTATGCAAATCTCTCCTCCAATGAATGCTTTTTTTCCTTTCTATAAGTCCTATCTGCCCACTGAATATCAATTACTTGATGAAATCTTTCCTGAATGCTCCATCTAAATAGGATTTCTCTCGTCCCTAAAATCGACAAAAATATTGCCCTCAATAGCAATACTATTCACACAATATATTTGTTTGTCTCTATTGCTATTCATATTTTTTAAAAAATATTCAATTTAAGGTTTTAAGTATCTTCTGTTTTTAAAGCATTAGTGCTAACACCCTGTGAATGTAATATTAAGAACATATCTCTACCTTAATTGTCCTTGAAACTGGTAGAGTAAGAAAATGAAACAAATGTCCATATAAACATGGACAAGGAGGCCACTACTTTTCCAAGAATTTCCTTCAGACCTCTCTAACTGGATGCAAACTTTCCTTCCTTTTAACCTCCACAACAATTTGTTTATCCTTTTCTTTGACTTTTGAACTGACTTTTTTTTTTAAATGTGTTTTATTTATTTATTCATGAGAGTCAGAGAGAGAGAGAGAGAGAGAGAGAGGCAGAGGGAGAAGCAGGCTCCTGAGCCTGATGCGGGACTAGATCCCAGGACTCTGGGATCATCATGACCTGAGCCGAAGGCAGACGCTTAACCATCTGAGCCACCCAGGCGCCCGACTTTTGAACTGACTCTTAAGAGCCGGTGAGATTTGGGGGGGTGAGGGTATAGCTAGAAAAAAATACTGCAGTTACATCATGAGGAGAAAGTATAATGTAATAAAAAACAAACAAACAAACAAAAGCTTTGTAGGAACAAACCTAGATTCAAATTCTGGATTTTGGTACTAGTTAACCATCTGATCTTATGAATGTCTCCCACTCTGAGTTTATTTCTCTGTAAATGTGGATAATAAAGTCTTCTTTGAAATGGCATGAGAAAAAAAATTATTATAAAGAACAAGGTAGGTACTCAAAATTATTTTCTATAATAATGTAAAGAATCTTCAGTTTGCATGGGTAATCAAAGAAGGAAAAGATGAGTGAGGCCAGAACTAGAAAGAAACTGAAATGACAGTAAAAATGAGAGATAAAAGCAAGGTGGCAGACCAAGCTGGTACGAGGCTGGGGAATCAAAAAAGAAGGCTAAAGGGATGGGTACGACCAGGGGACTTTCATGAACAAGTATGTCTAATGCTTAATTGCATGTGATTTGCTGAAAAATATAACCCCCTTTCTTAACTTTAATCTCTTGATTCTTAAGTAAAGTTTCCAAAGCAAAGTGACTCTCTTCCTCATTTGGATGAATGCCCAGGAAGAATGGAAAAACCAACCATATGAAGAAAGACATTAGAAAATTCAAGGAAAGTAAGAAATCAGAACAAGAGAAAGCTAGAGAAAAACATAAGTCCTTGAAGCATGGTGATGGAGAGTCCAAATGTATGCGGCATAGACTCTGGAACTAATGTTACTTATTTGCTAAAGGGCAGTGAGACTAAGTACTCTGAACAACTGGGGACACCCAGGAAGGAGACATCTAGAGCACAGTAGCTAGATGGAACTACAATAGGAGAAGAGGTGTCAACAATTAGAGACTGGAATGGCTACAAAGGCCTTGGAATTGTCAACAGGCCAGTTGGACGTGGAAGAATCCTTAATGAAGCAGGGTGTGTCTTTCTAATTGAACAAAACTCAATTATCCATTCAAGACTGAGAGACAGATGCCACAAATTGATAGGCAAAAGAGAGAAATGGGTTCTCTGACAATTTCAAGAAGCCACCCTACCAGCTTCGGACTGCTTACTTCCAGATATCCTTTATATGAGGGTATTAGGCTAAGAGAAATAAGTCAATCAGAGAAAGACAATTATCATATGATTTTTCTCATATATGGAATTTAAGAAACAAGACAGAGGATCATAGGGGAAGGGAGAGAAAAAGAAAGTAAGATGAAATCAGAGAGGGAGACAAACTGTAAGAGACTCTTAACTCTAGGAAACAAACTGAGGGTTGCTGGAGGGGAGGTGGGTGGAGGGATGGGGTCACTGGGTGATGGACATTAAGGAGGGCACGTGATGTGATGAGCACTGGGTGTTATATGCAACGGATGGGATCACTAAACTCTACCTCTGAAACTAGTAATACAGTATATGTTAATTCACTGAATTTAAATTAAAAAAAAAAGAAAGAAATTCCTATGCTGTTTATCCTATTGTTACGTTGAGTTTTCTACTATTTGCTGTCAAATCTGATTATCTCTAATACAAGTTTCTTGGTCATTTCTGCTATTTTCTTCTGTTCTACTTTTTCAAAGTTTATAAAAATCTTTCAATATACTTTTTTGACATTTAGAAATATTGCGAAATGCTGACCAGGCATTCTTTAAGTCTGTTTGAAAAAGTTCTTAATCTGATAAATGGCATGTTAAAAACATCCCCTAAATACAACATTGCTTACCACAGAGTCTTATAAGAATATCAGATGTGTGACTGATATGTTTGTTAACCAAAGAGATGAACCAAAATTCTATTGCAAACAGTATTTATGGTGCACAAGTTTTAGGCCAAGGCCATTTAGCAAAATGGAAGTTTGACTAAACCTACAGATGAGAGGCATGGTCAGCAGAGAAAAAGGGTCTACCTATTCTTTCCATCTAATCCCAACAGGTCGTTGTGGGTACACAAACTTTAGAATAGAACTATGTGGCATTTGCTTTTAATTATTTGCATAAAGTTAACTATTTTTAGTCTTTTGTTGATAATTTATATTTCCCTTCTTTTACCCTGAATTGCTTACGTTCAACTGAGAACTATAAGCCTACAATTAATTATTTTTTAAATGATTTTTCTTGTGTGATTTTCCAATGTTTTCTTAAAACACAAAAGGAATAAAATAAGCCTCGAGCTACAAGTACTTTAAAAATCATGCACTCCAAGCCCTCTGTTTTATAGATTAAATGATCCAAAGAGACTAATGAACTTAACTAAATCTTTGTCAGAATAATTCCTCATTCATTCATTCATTCATTCATTCATGTATTAATCCATTCACCTACGATTTAATTCTGAGGTATAAGGCACTGGGCAAAGGTAGCTGTATCACAGTATAAATAAGGCCCTGCCATCTGCATATTTTCAATTCAGGGGGAATAGAAATAAATCATCCAGATAATTAAAATACAATGTAAATAAATGTGCTTTAAGTATTACTGCAGCCAAAGAATCACAAGAGAGGAAAGGAAGGTAAGGGGTAGCTAGCAAAGACTTTCGGGAAAAAGTTACATTTGGCTGTTCCTTAGAGGATTTGAACAGGTGGAGATAGACGAATAGACATTTCAGACAAAAGGGGTGGCTTTTTTTTAACTTGTAGATTGGATTTCAATCCGAAGTTTTTTCTTAAATTATTTTTTATCGGAGGGGGAGACGAACCATGAGAGACTATGGACTGTGAAAAACAAACTGAGGGTTCTAGAGGGGAGGGGGGTGGGGGGATGAGTTAGCCCGGTGATGGGTATTAAAGAGGGCACGTTCTGCATGGAGCACTGGGTGTTATACACAAACAATTAATCATGCAACACTACATCAAAAACTAATGATGTAATGTATGGTGGTTAGCATAACATAATAAAAATAAATAAATAAAAAATAAAATTACATTTGGGTGGGAAAGCAAAATCAAAGCAGTCCCTAAGCCAGAGGTGAGAACAGTGACTTTGGAAAGCTTGACATCATAGTTAATGCTGCATTAAAAAGTGATGTTTATCAGGATACAAATGAATCCCCCTGAAGTTCAGCACCTGAAAGGCCATGCAAGCCCTCCGCATCTCGAGAAAATGACTGCAGTATGGCTTAAAAACCAAGAGCTAGGAGCCACTGCTCCCAAAATATCATAAATTAAACGGCTGAAAAAGATGTCAGTAACAAGTAAAACAGTAGGGTTTCAATTTACAAGTAAAAATCCAGACAAATGGGCAATATGAAGGAAAATAATATTTCATTTTTGTTCAGAGTGCAATGAATTAAGCAGTCTAAGAAACACATATTCAAACAGAAAGTGTTTAAAATGCAAATGACATTTAGAAAAAAAGTGATGGCATCTATATGGATTTTTACAGATAAATCTTCTTTTACTTCTTTTAATATGCATGAAAAATAGGTCCCTTTTTCTCATATTTGTGACTGGTTATGGTTATTAGTAAAAAAGTGCTAAGACTAGGCACTTCATCAGTAAGTAGTACTAAGTGATAACAAACACGCATTTTCAGAGAAATTTGTCAATGACTTTTGCTACAACTATAAATTATCAATACACTTTTACATAAGCTAAATATTTAGCTTTTCAGCTACACAAACTACTTACTTTATTACACTGGTGTTCCTCTACCACTCCCCATTTCACAACATGCTTTATATTCCACCTACGAGGAAATCTGCATTTTAGCTCTGTAAGTCTGCAAGTAACCTTCAGCCACTAACCTTACTGTCTTCTGTCTCTTTAGCTTTTTCTTGGAAGGGTTTCTTCTCTCCAAATTCACAGGTTGATTTTAATGTGAGCTGACAAGAAAGCATTGAGCTCTCTGGTTCAGTAAGTTCCAAAGGTCTTGAAGAATAGGGCTGTGACCCAGTAGTGCCCAGATTTGGTATCGGAAGAGCAGTATGAACAGGCTTTGACCCAACAGCTGGCTGTCTCAGTTTTGAGGCAACCCCAAGTACAGGCATGGCTTCTATAAAAGTATCTTCTTGCTGCCAAAGAAAATGCTTCTAACCTCAGTCTGGTAGACTCCAACTTTAGTATTTCCAGAACAAATACTTTAAACAAAACTAGCAGTCATCATGATTCAAAAAACAAAAAACAAAACAAAACAAAACAAAAAAACAACTAATAATATAACTTCCAGGAAGAGGCAAAACTGCCCTTCATCTTTAGTTAAGTATCTTGCTTGCTGGCTGGCTCGAATTCTCATATTCTCATCATTCTCTCTCTCTCCCTCTTCGCCTCCCCCTCTCTCTCTGTTCAGTGAGTCAGTGTCTATGTAATATTAAATACTCCTTTGGGGAGTAAACTTTTCTTGAAGGTAACTGTTACAAAGCTCCTTCTCTAGGATTAAAGAGCTCCTAGTTCTATTTTTTCCTCCCACTACAGCAGTCTGAGTCTGAGCACTGAGAATAACAAAGTGGAGAGAAACAAAAGGAAAAGTCCTCAGTCCAACTGTCAAAGCAGCCAAAAGACCACAATAGTGGACGGACAGGAGTTCTTCCTGACTTCAGAAATAACCAGGCTACATTCTCTTTTTAAAGAAAATTGTATTTACCCCAGTTAAAAAAAAAAAAGAATGGACACGATTAATGGCCAAAACAAACAGCTGTTGGAAGAACTTTTAGCCCGGAAACAATCTCAGCAATGAAGCTGTTTGTCTGATTTCCAGCTATTTTTCACTACTGACAGCCATGAACCACTGTGCTCATTCTGTTTTATCCCATGAAATCAGGTTAAATTCATGCCATAGTGCAACTAGCAAATCTGTTAAATCATTCAGCAGACTATACCTGCCTAGGTTATGAAAATATAGTAAATGGGGAGAGCAAGACACTAGATATATAGTAATTGTTGTTTCTCAATTTAATAACAGTAATGATACAACTATTTGCAGGTAACATGTATGTGGAATGTACTACACAGCAGTTACTTCACATTTAACCAGTGGGACCACTCAGGAATAGGTACACTTATTCTCTCCACTATATAGAAAGGACAACTAAGACTCAGATTCATTTAAGTAATTTGACCAAAGCCATACAGTTAGAAGGAGCAAGAGCCTGTACTATTTGGAGTAACTCAAAAAACCACCTTAGAAACAATTTAAAATAACGCTGTTATTCAAGCTCTTTACATCCAAATTAAAATCCTAATCTACTAAATATCCAAATACATATTCAGGGACTACGAACAATGCTGCTTCTATCCATAAAATTATTTTACTATAATTGGATTATGTTCTATTTCTGGTAAAAGCATGTCTGGATCCATAACAAAAGCAAGGGGTAAGTTTTTAAGAAACATATGAGACACATGCATTGTCTTTAAGTAATTGCACTTAGATAATGGGTATATGGATAAATTCCTCCATCATTTAATAAATATCATATTTATGTGATGGTGTTGAAATTTCAACAGTATTACCTAATAATAGAAATTTATTTATTTCATATCCCTTGTGCTTTTGTTGATTCTAAAAGACACAGATTTACTTTTTTTCTTTATTTAGAAAATCTATGTTATATTCACTAAATATTCTAAGAATTAGTAATATTTGCAAGTGAAGTTCCTAGAAAAATGAGTGGGCATTTAATGGACATTCAATAAATAATAACAATTATAAGAATCATAGCTATTATTATAGAAAATGTCTCTCTACAGTAAAGAGATTATTTTGTTTGTCTACTATTCCCAGCTCTGTAAATTATTATGTAGTCTTAGGTAAGAAGCAGTAATTTACAGATAAAAGCTAATAACTAAAGTTGAATTTATATGTTCTTTTGATATAAGCATAGAAGAAATTCAAATACAAATTAGAAATCTTGCCAACTTTAAAAAGGAAAGTAACTCAAGTGGGATTTACTCAATGGTATAATAAGAAACAAACACAACACTGGTGGCAAGAAAGAAATGATCACTCTGAGGAAGTAAGTTACTTACTTCCATTAACACACCATCCCATTAACCATTAACACACCATCCCTTCCAGATAAGACATTGCAAAGCAGGAGATATTCATGTTCCTAAAATGGGGTTTAAAGTATATGAGAAGATACGTGCATCCTGTAATGCCCACATTGTAAACAAAATGGCATACCCAAAATAATAGGACTTGTGGGGAAAACAGGTTCTGGGAAGACCACTGAAAACAGGCAACTTTGGGAACAGATCACTGGCAAAAATAATATTGGTACCTTGGAAGATAATTTGGACCACCCAAGCAAGCAGCTCAGCCCAGAGTTTAAAAACAAACAAGCAAACAAACAAAAAACAAAGCAAACAACAACAAAAATGCTCCACAATTGATGGGAAGTGCTGGCAATATGTTAATTAGAATTTGTAGGAAAAATCTGACTGGAAGGCAAACTCTGAGCCAATAGGTTTGCCACTGAAATGAACATGGGGCAGTGCAAGCTGCAAATATTTAGGAGCCACATAAGACTAAGGGATATGTTCCTTTGGCCACAGAGCCCCAAATACAGGCACTTGGTTTTTTTTTTTTAATTTTTTTTCAATTTTATTATGTTATGTTAATCACCATACATCATTAGTTTTTGATGTAGTGTTCCAGGATTCATTGTTTGCCTATAACACCCAGTGCTCCATTCAATACGTGCCCTTTTTAATACCCATCACCATGCAAATGACATATCAGATAAAGGGCTAGTATCCAAAATCTATAAAGAGCTTAACAAACTCAACACCCAAAGAACAAATAATCCAGTCAAGAAATGGGCAGAAGACATGAAGATATTTTTCCAAAGAAGACATCCAAATGGCCAACAGACACATGAAAAAGTGCTCAACATCGCTCGGCATCAGGGAAATCCAAATCAAAACCTCCATGAGATACCACCTCACACCAGTCAGAATGCCTAAAATTAACAAGTCAGGAAACGACAGATGTTGGCGGAGATGCAGAGAAAGGGGAACCCTCCTACACTGTTGGTGGGAATGCAAGCTGGTGCAGCCACTCTGGAAAACAGTATGGAGGTGCCTCAAAAAGTTAAATTTTCTTAAAACAAAACCAAAAGGTCTCCCGTTGACTATTTAGTATCAAAGTGGAGGGCCTTCTTTTCCCGCCCAAGGTTATAATTCAACTCTGACTATTCTGCTTTCTTGGGGGCATAAATCACATATAAAACTTTGCAACTTCTACATTACACAAACATAATTCTATTTACCAATTGCAGATGAGCTCATCGGTATTTTAGAAACATATGCTGCAGCAGAACACACTAATTCCTGATATAAACAAATTGAAAACAAAAGTGTTTACATTCAATAAGATGTCTTTTCACTTTGAAACACCTTTTGCTTATTGGATAATATCATTTCACTTAAGTATAGGGTCAAAAACAGTTGCCACTGTTGACCAATTCTATGAAGTAACATCTACCACCAAGAGCCACAAAAACTAATTTATTCTGAGAATTTACGGTGTGCCAGGAGCTGTCATCCCATTCCATCCTAAAACAAAATCACCTTTGAATAGGTGATGACAAAGACCTAGAAAAGTTAAGCAGTTATCTTAAAGTCACAGAAAATGTTTTTTATTAATTATTTATTTGAGAGAGAGCGTGTGCGAGCTCAACCAGGGGGAGAGAGGGAGGGGGAAAGAATTTCAAGCCGACTCCACACTGAGCATGGAGCCCAAGGCGGGGCTTGATCTCATGACCCTGAGATCATAACCCTGAGATCACGACCTGAGTTGAAACCAAGTGTCAGATACTTAACCGACTGAGCCACCCAGATGCCCCAGAAATGGGGTTTCTTAAACCAGGTTCAACGAACCACCATCTGTAGTGCTTGCTAAACATAGATTATTGGATTCATCCTAAACCCACCAAGTAAGAATCATGAGGGCAAGGAAAAAATCTGAGAATAGAATTTAAGTAAACTGATTCTCCCAAACTAAAATTTAAGATCCATATTTTAGAGGATTTGTAGATTGACAGTTCAGGAAACAGACTAAAAATGTACTGCCTAGAGTCAAATCTCTGCTTCCTCACTTAGCTGTATGAATTTGGAAGTTGCTATGTATCAGTTTTATCATCTATAAAATGGGAAAAATAATTTCATTCCCTTTACAGTGTTGCTGTGAGAATTAAAAGAAATAAATGTATAAAGTCATTAGAACAGGATCTGCCTCACAATAAGTGCTCAATAAATAATTATGTGCTCAACATAAGTGCTCATAAAAAGCACACAATAAGTAAGTGCTATTAATGTTATAAGACACATAATGACCTTGAGAATTATCGAGGTAAGGTAAAGAAATTAAGTCAAAAATTTGGCCAGGATCATAAAGGTTAACGGAACTGAACTCAGGGGGGGAAATCCTGAAAATTAAAATGAGGTAAATTATTTGTCGTTTGCCTGAAATACATTACCTTCCAAAGCCAAGCTAGAGTTTCAGGCATAAGAGAATTCCAACCTAGCTGAATTTTAACATCAGTGATTTTAAAAATAAATAATAAAACTTCATGAAATGACAATTTGCTATTATTTATTTATAAGAAAGAGAGAAAGAGAAAATAACCAACTATCAAACAACACTAAGAACATGCCTACAAAAAGACAAAATATGATTGGCTAGTCAATTCAGAGCTTTGCTAAAATAAAGAGAGTCACATTTCCATTTTTAATAGCTTGACTGAAGTAAAAATTACACATAAAATTCAACAATTCTTAAGAAATAATTCAATGTAACCAGAACTACAGCAAAATTGGAAAATTTCCTTCATCCTAAAATGTTCTCTCCCTGCCAACCCAGGCAACCAATGAAGTACTTTCTGACACTAGTTTTATTTTTTTTCTAGGATTCCCTTTAATTGAAATTATGCAGTATTTTAGGGTCTGGCCTTTTTCACTTTGCATCTTGCTTTTGAGATTTACCCATGTTATGTGTGTCAAGGGTTCTTCTTTTTGTATGGCTGAGATGTGCTCCACTATGTGAATA